CACTTCTCATCCAAGAAGCTTCTTCAGCTCTGAAGAAGTTTCTTGAACAAAATGTCTTCAAAGAAAAGCCAGAAAATCCAGTTGCCTCTTGAAAAAACACCTTTGGGACAAACAATTGACTGGTTAGTCCATCATTTCAAGGAAAGAACAAAGTCCAGATATGGTACAAAGAGAAAGAGAAAAAAAAGGAAAAAATGTAGAGCAGTGTGTATGCCAACTAGAAAAGACTTTCTGCATACCAACTATACACTAATGGGCATGATTGGAACTTCCACTGTAGGAACCACCAACCACAATTTTTAGAATATAGTGCATTAAATCTGTATGAATAGCAGTGTAGAAAACACCCATGCCAGGGGCACTGTAGGTACATGATTGTGGGGCAGCAACATTTAAGGGGTATTTTATGTATTCTACTTTATTCTTAAAATACGCATGGCTTTGCACCTTGTTAATATTCTTCTGGATGGTTGAAAAAAAAATTTAGAAAAAGAAATTAAACAATATTCAGGTCATAATGTGCTAGAGAATGGTGTCAAACTCAAGACCTGGGGACCGGATCCGACCCACAGGTTGCTTATATCTGGCTCATGAGGCCTCCTTGGAAACAGTCCACGGTCCTCTGCTAGCAAAAATGGAGCTTGGGAGGGCTGTGTGCAACTCTCTGCCAATGAAAACAGAGCTTGGTTTTCACTAGCAGAGCGCTTGGGCCACCACAGGTGCCTCCAACATGAGTGACGTCAAGCTAGCCACACTCACCCTGACCACGCCCTGTTGGCCCCCCTGAGGTCAAACTCAACCCTGATGCAGCCCACAATGAAATCGAGTTTGACACCCCTGTGCTAGAGGTTCAGATAGATTCTTTCATTTTGTAATTCATAAGGAACAATACCTTGCCTCTCACTCTCAATTCCCTGTCTCTATACAGAAGTATAATATGATTGAAACCAACACCCTAGTTAACATCATCCCACCAATACTCCAATGTCTATAACTATAACAGATGAAATAACTCTCAGACATAAAAAAGTAAGTCAACACAGGTCTAAGTCTACTGCAGTCTCATCATTGTAGAAGTCCAGAAAGATGAAACTGAAAAAAATGTCTTCAACTTAATGGAGTTGGTCTAATCACAGCTACAGCAAGCAGATTGCCCTTTCAAAAGTCCACTGGCCCCCTCCCACTGACATTCCCCATTGCTGCCTGAATGACCATGTCCTCCAGCCACCTGTACAACTGTTTTCCAGCCAATTCTAAATTGGGAAGCTAGTATCACAAAGCATTGGTGTGCATGTGGCTGTTATTTGCTCACTACACCAAAACAAAAATGTGTGTACTTTGATTTTTGGGCTGTTACGTTACATGAACATAATCACTCTTTTTGGAATCATGATTTGCATTTTAAGCATTGTAAAAACCCAGCCAGTGATGGTTAATTGAACAAAAATGTTAGTTTAGTACAGTCTGTGGAATGGATCAATATTATTAAAAAATAGGCTCTTAGACCTCCCACAAGCACAAAACCAACTAAGATAACACTTCTGATAAAGGATATAGACAGATGTCTCACCATAGAATAGAATAGAATAAAATAGAATAGAATAGAACAGAACAGAACAGAACAGAACAGAACAGAACAGAACAGAACAGAATAGAATAGAATAGAATAGAATAGAATAGAATAGAATAGAATAGAATAGAATAGAATAGAATATTTTATTGGCCAAGTGTGATTGGACACACAAGGAATTTGTCTTGGTGTAAATACTCTCAGTATACATAAAGAAAAGATACATCCATTAAGAATCAAGGATCATAACGTACAACACTTAATGATAGTTATAGGGTACAATCAACAATCAAATCATACTAGGAAACAGTCAATATAAATCATACAGATACAAGCAACAAAGTTACAGTCCTACAATCACAAGTGGGAGGGGATGGGTGATAAGGAATGATGAGAAGATTAACAGTAATAGTAGTGTACACTTTGTAAATAGTTAAAGAGTGTTGAGGGAATTATTTGTTTAGCAGAGTGATGGCTTTCAGGAAAAAACTGTTCTTGTGTCTAGTTGTTCTGGTGTACAGTGCTTTATAGCATTGTTTTGAGGGAAGGAGTTGAAACAGTTTATGTCCGGGATGTGAGGGGTCTGTAAATATTTTCACAGCCCTCTTTTTGACTCCCACAAGCACAAAACCAACTAAGATTACACTTCTGATAAAGGATATAGACAGATGTCTCATCATCTGTGCAGAATGACATGGCAGGTATTATACACAGGCAACACACATACACACACACACAAACATACACACAAACCTACACACTATAATAATCCCTTTTATTGAGTTCATATGCAAGATTTTGAATGATAAAAATGGGTTATGATATTCAACCTTTGTTTGCCAATTGTTATAAAGCTTAAAGGCACTCTTAGTTGTACATTAGGCTCTATTCACTTTTTCCCCCTTTGCCAGAGCAAAGAACAGATTCCACCCCACACACCCCTGGCAAATACTATACTGTTGCTAACATATGCTTCAAAAAATTGAACACATTTGGGATCTCTGCAGGGAAAAAAAATGAGAAGTCAGTACTGCATCAGCAGAAGTCTGTCTCTGGGTTAAAATAATAGATTACTTGGATAAAACAAAAAGGTGATAATGTCCCCATTCTGCCCTGACATTTTTGACAGATGTCATTCTATGCAGCTCATCTGGGGATAGATGGAAGGCAGATAGAGGCAAAAAGCACAAACTAAAAATATTTACCTAATAGAAATCCTGTTATTGTACCTGCAAGTGTAATGATTCACTTAATACAGGGGCAAAAAAGTCACAAAATGGGGCAAACCTCACAAACAAATTTGGGCTCAATTGTGCTCATAAGTTAAACATGACCTGTAATTGGTCATGTTTGAGAAAGAGTTAGGTGAGTTTTTTTAAAAAATATACATTTAATAGCTATGAAGCCTTCCTGATGATCATATGCGTTTATCCTTTGATTTGCTCTCTCTGTGATTTTCTTTTTTTTGGAGGGGGAGTTGGGTGTCAGGGGACATTGGCTATTTTGTGTTGAGTTCCCTAGCAAGAGGGAAGGATTTGTTTCTTTGGAGCTATCTGTGACACAACAGAAAGACAAAGTCCACAGTTTGGACGGAGAGGAGTGCTAGCTTGAAAGAAGGGTCAAAGAGACCATCTGTGTTAAAATTGAACAGCCTTCCCTCAACAGAGGGGGAGGGATATGACATCATCTATCTCCAATCTACAACACAGTCCTTTCAACAGTTCCAAGAAGGCTCCACACCTATTTGCACCACTCAGGTGCATGATGACACATGCCTTGATGACACAGATAAACATCCAAGTGGCCTCAACAACTCTCTAAAAGAATGCAAATGATCAGCTGTCTGCAAGGAGTATAAAATCTTTCCATTCCCCGCCATCCAGTCAGAGCTGAAGAAGCCTCTTGGATGAGAAGCAAAACGTCTTCAAAGAAAAATCAGAAAGTTCAGTTGCCTCTTGAAAAAATACCTTTGGGGCAACCATGACCTGGAGGACTGAGAATCTCTATAGATAAACAGACAGACAACTTTAC